ACGCATCTGCAGTACAAAATTCATATTCCTTTCTGCGGGCCAAGTCAATTTTGCTGAATTGGGCTCGGATCAGTCTCAAATTCGACTTGGACCGCAGAAAGGAATATGAATTTTGTACTGCAGATGCGTTACAACAACGCAACGCATGAAAAATATCTGATATTTTTATGCGATATTTCTATCCCATATGAATAAAAATATCTCATAGTAATCTCTGCATATGAGCGAACATATTTCATAACACTAATAAATTCATATAGGATATGCATTTGGTCCGGATGTGAGGCGGATAACTCCATGCGATACTTCGTTCGTTTTCCAATTAAAAATTCTTCCATGCCATCATATTCGGTGCAAAATCGCTCCCTCAAACCCCGTTTGGCTCCATGCTCATGGATTTACGTTGTACAGAAATGTTCCTTAAATCACAGCGCATTCAAACCAAGATGGAGTATGATACAAATGTTACAAAATGTTATGTGTTGGGATCCATATCAAACAACAAACGCCATTAAATATACAAAAACCGGTAGCAGGCGGGAGCTTTCTAGATTTTCTAAAATCGACATGAGATTCGTTGAAGAGATTACGTAGATCGTTCGAATCGAATTTCGAGGGAAAAAAATATTACACATATTGACGAAAAACATACATCTACTCCATCTCCATCTCCATCTCCCTCGGTTCTAATTCCACCTCCACCTCCACCTCTGTTGCTGCTTGTCTGCCAAAAACGGATGATGATCTAAACTGAAGTTTTCCGAAAATTGAGCTTTTTTCACTTTCTCTCTCCTCTCGCCCTCACCTCCATTTCGTCGCACACTCTCGCTGTTCATTCACAAACGAGCAGTTCAGTACAAATCGTGGCTTTCGTTCACTTTCATTCTGCTTTCCATCTCACTTCAGCCATAAAATACATGATGATTTTTGCTTCATTCAAAAACGGAAAATGACAAAGAGTAGCGAGCGAACGAGTGAGAGAGAAACCGAGTAGATTGGCAAAGTGGCACTTTGTTGCGTGTTTTTAATCATATTGCTTTTGCTTTGGTCTAGACAGCAAACATGCTTACAGTTAAATGTCAATTGAAAACGATATCTAGCAATTGAATCAACCACCTCATTTGAGTGCTTCTTTCACTTTCCTTTTCGGTTCGGTTCGGTTCGACATCGAGTTCGTCGTCGTCGTTTTCGTTTTCGTCATCATCATCATCATCATCATCAATTCCATCATAGTGCGTCGTTGTCGTCGCTGTCGTCGTTGGTCGAGTGTTTTGCCTCTTTCATTCCTGTCCTATTTTACGGTTCTGGTTTTGTTTTTTTGTCACTCTCCCTCTTCAAGTTCACAAAGCATTAGATTTGCCGCGTTCTTTTGCATAGTTCATCAGTAACATTTCATAATTTGTTGAACAGCATTTGCATTTAAAAGCATTTAAGTCGAAACGAAAATATAAAAAAATAAATTCTCTCAATGCTACTAAGTGCTTATTTGAATTTCCGTTTATTTTTCGGCATCACGGAACCATTTATTCGGGAAATTACCTCTGAACAAAATTTCGCCACTTCTTTCTTTCTTTTTATTCGCTTCGTTTTTGTTTTGTATTCCATTTCAAAGGCATTACGATTATTGCCTTTGATTTGGAAGGCGATGGCTTAAGGCCAAAACGCGAACAAACAGCTAAAAGAGAGCTCGAGAAAAAAAAATCGGATGAAATCCAAATCCGATCCGAGGAGGCAAAGCAGGCACACCACGGATGGGTTCTATTGATGAGAGTCATTGTGATTTTATTCTACTAAACTTTGTATCTGATTTATGTGTGTATTTTTTTTCTCTTCTCCTTCTTCTGCGCACCCCATAGATTCTCGAGCTGCAGTATTATTATACACATATTGTATTTCGTCGACATAAATTAAATTGATAGATTCTAAATTGAATTCTATTATCGTATCACGTCTCATTTTGAACACTCGATGGTTGATGGCAGACGGTTCATAGTTTGGATTTTCTTATGCTGGTCTTTGATTTGGTCGGTGGCCTCACATCATTTGTGCAGTATGCGTTTGCTTGCCTTGTTTTGGGTTTTTTTTCTTCCAAGAATTGTTTTTGGCTAGTTGGAACACTAACATTAGCGCAGATAGAAGAAATGTAATCGCAGCCTAATTTTATTGCAAATGGAAATATCCTTCCATTAAGGATCTGCAAACGGCAGACACACTTCCATACACATACACTTCGTCTTGCAGCCAACAAACATATTTGCCATTGTCTAAAAATATACATGCAAACAGAACTATGACGATAGTATCGTGGCGCTCATCGCTTATTTATGAACATTTATTTTATGCGTGTTAGCGCGAGCATAAAATCACTTTTGCCTCCTTTGTGTAAAAATATTAAAGTTTTATATTAATTTGATGTGTTGGAGGGGAAAAAAGTGTGCCATTAAGTAAATAACGAACTGATGAGCTTGAATAAAATGGGTTTTAGATTCGACACAAGGCACACACAAACACACACGCATGAAACGACACAATATGGAAGGCATTGTGTCTATCATCACTATATCTTGTCTCTATCAAGTCTAGAAAAAATGTCGGTATTGAATTTTCAACGCACACACAATTTGATGCTGTGCGTGTGCGTTTATTTGACGAATATCACTTTTTAAGCTCCCACATAGTGTTGTCATGGCTTATGCGTTATTATTTGTTAGAGACGAAACTAAAATTAGACACTCACTCAACCAAATTTAACCCATCCCGCCGAAGATGTTTAGCCCTTTTTCTGACTCAACGCTCACGCACAATGTTTATGTCATTTCAGAATGCCTGCACCACAGATGGATGGATCTGGACCCAGATCCGAGCTACAAGAGCTGCAAGTCAAAGCGAACCAAAAGGCGGATGAGGTAAATATTAATTAGTCAATTAACATATTATCGCTCAATTTATATTAATTCAATCGACCGCAGTTGGAAACGTGAAATTCAGTGAGACTTTGTCACGTGTTTACATTTATTAATCCGATAAGATTGGCATGTTTAATACCACTCTAGTGAAAATTGCTGTGCGCTTTTATGGCTTTTTATTTTCTACCCCTCGTCTTTTTTTCTCTTTTTTCCACACAGTCGTTGGAGAGTACGCGCCGAATGATGCAGCTATGCGAAGAGGTGAATTATTCAAATACAATTAAAATTACACATACTAACTATATTCGAATTGCACGTAGCAACCATTCGTAAAACAAACAAAAAAAATATGAATCCTAAAAAAACGACACTTAATTTAGAGATCCAAGATAAGTTCGATTCGAAATGCAGGCGCCAATGTAGGGTTTAAAAAACGCCTTTTTTTGTTTTTCTCTCAAACCAATTACATAGTTTTGTATCCAACCACTCAGATAAATCTATTATCTTTCTATCTGTGAATGTGTATTGAGTCTTCTCTCATTGAATTTTACATCTGAATTCGTGTGTTATATTCGCATCGCTAGTGAAATCGTGAGAAAGCGATAAATTTCTAGCTCATTTAGTTTTCCCCCCACCTCCTCCCCTACCTCAACCTTCTGACTCAAAAAAGAAAAAAATCCACTAATGTTATAGTGATTATTATTCTGGACGAAACGATTATTATATTAGAAATCAACTATAAATTCCATTTTCTTGATGTTTTTCCACCTTTGTTCTACCTTTGTTCCATCTCCTTCCCCACCGTAATGATAAAAATAATATTGTGTGATACATATATAAAACTATAGTTGATGGGAAAAAAGTTGCCAGATCAGACCGTAGGCACTGTTTTGATAACTGATCTTTGTTATTTTAGTTGGTGTTCTGTTGTTGAAACCGTGTATTCCTTGTTATTTTTCGATTTTCGCTATTCCACTTTGATTCTGATTCTTTCTTTCTATCTCTCTCTCTCTCTCTCACACACACGCACACACCTCCTATTTCACTCTTTTTCACTCTGTCTCCATTGAAGCCGTGTTGTTTTTTTCGATTTTTCTCGAACCCGCTGTGTCCTTCTCCCTTTTACTCTTTGTGCAAAAACGTAGACGTAAAGACAAAGAAAAAGACAAATGAAAAAAGCGCTGACTGATAGTTATACCGTACGTTTATGTAACGACCTACGATTTAATTTATCAGTTGTGTGATTTTAGTGTCGTTTCGTTTCAATCAAGTGATTTTAGTTTTTGCTCTCAATGAACATGAAAATCGGTGCCAATTTTTTTCCAATTTCTATCTCCTTTCTGCTCGGATTTTTTACATTTTCATTTTGCTTTTGCTGTTGTTGTTGTTCTATTCTTGTCTTTCCTGTGGATTTTTAATTTATTCATTCCTGTCGTCGGTGTAGTCGTTTGTCGTAACCGTAACGTTATTCTTCTTCCATTTTTTTGCTGTCATTGTTGTTGATTTTGTTGCTGTTGTGTGTACATTTGTATGTGTAATGCCTGAAATCGAGTAACGAGTCACACAACACACATACACACCATCCACCACATCAGCGAGTGAACACTCTGTGCATACATCGGCTACGTAGATGAACTCGGCTAATGCTACATCTGTATCATATTATCTCTGATTTCTTTCTATTTTCCTCTCGTCATGGGTGTCAATAGAAAAAGTACAACAAACAACTAGATTGTTTAATCTCCACAAGATTTTTGATATGGTGATTTAAGCACAATATATTGACAATATTACCCTACTCCATCCACTACAACAACATAGACATCGTTCATCTCTCCAACACCCCTTCTCCTTCCGCTCTCGCTTTCTCTCTCTCGCTCTGTCCGTATATCATTGGTGTAACCTGTTTATAAGTAGCAGCAGCATCAGCAACAGCAGTAGCAGTAGATAGTACATAAAAAAGCGCGCACAAACGAATGCTTATCGCAACATAGAGATGTGTGCTTGCATCAGATAAATCTTGCACATATTTAAAGTGCTGTTATTCTTTCCGTGTTGCATTCAATTTATGAGACAACATCGACATTTTGATGTTCTGGAAGCATATCAAAGTTTGCAGTTTTAAAAATAGAACGCAGAACAAAACGAAAAAAAACAACAATGACGACACGTACACACACACCGACTCACACATACATACAGAAAATGAGAAACAGAAACCATACGTGCAGAGGCAAAAAAAACTATACATATATTTATATTGAGAGAAGTAAAGTAGAAAATGCATAAATAACAACAAAACAAACAATGAAAACGACAACGGTTACAAAGCATTAAATATCTGATATCCTTCGCATCGAAAATCAACCTAAAGCATGGCACAAACAGTCTAGCTGGTGATGCTTAGCTCAGCGAGCAAAGTTAAATCGTCGAAAAATTGATTCAACGCTCTAGACTCTGGGATTTTCGAGTGCTTTCGACTACTTCTGCAACCGAGCGAGCGAACGAACACACACACACAATTGCCATGCAAAATGTATGAAGGAATAAAAGACATTTCGCAGAACATTTTGTCGCCCAAATGCAATTGTCAATACCTTGAACTAATAAGTTGAACACGTCAGATGGGCAATATACTGGCATCGTACAACATTAATTTGCCATGCCGACGTGCAGCACACACAAACACACACGTTTCTATTTCTCGGAAGTTGTTTGAATGCAACCACCAAAATCCTTTCATTATTTGCTGTGTCACCATTAATCAAGGCAATTTTAGTAAACCAAAAATTCGGAAATGCAATGAAATTTTTTTTTATTGAAACTTAGCATTATTTAACGAATTGAATTGGCAGGTCTCGTACAAGATGCACAACCATCATACAATCAACGGTGCTGCTTGCTCATTTGTTAGGCTGCGGGCGAAACGGAAACGAATTACTTGTTTGGGCAAATGTACCGAAAATAAAACGGTGACGATTACGACGACGACCAATCAAATGGAGTGAAAGTGTCAATAAAATAAGGTGCTGCTCGGCGAAATTGCTTCTCTCGTCAAATTCAAGAGTTTATCGACTATATTGCGCTTCTGCTGGCTGTCCATTTTGCAAAAAAAAATGCGCCGTGCAATGTGTGCTATGTTTTCCCACTCTTCTCCCACTACTCTGATTTCATTTTTATTTTTTACTTGTTTTTTTTTTGTTCGAAGATGTAATGTTTCCTTTTCGCCCGCAGCCTGTCATTTATGCTACGACAATTTTCTACTCCGTTGTGTTGCATTTTGGTTTTCGGTACGGCTTCAGCTGCAATCGCTTGCTCAGGCATATCGATGCTAATTTTGAATGTCTTTGAAATGAACTGTAAGCATTATTTAGCGCCACCTATGCATCTATCTTTCACATCAAGGAAATATCATCGTGATGAAACCGAATGTCATGTTCGTTTTGGTTCACACTGCATATCGATAGATTCAACCGTTTCCACTGTCTGTTTTTTTTCTGCTGCACAAAAAGGAGAACAAAATACATACGTATACGTGTAAAATGGTAATGGAGTGCACGACGAAGTATCAAGCAAAATTGGTGCATATTTTTAGCATTATTTGCATTTTTCATGAACATATTGGATGTGTTAATGTTACACTCTGACACTTTGCGATTGCAATTGTTACTTCGGTAGGTAAAACTGATTTCGACTGATTGAACCTACACGGCTTGATCCAAAAATAAAACGTGTTTTCAATTAGAAATGGAGTACCTTCTCTCTCTCTCTCTCTCTCTCTCTCTCTATCTCAATCTCTTTTTTTATCCATTCTCATGCACATTTTCCATTTAGCAAACGTATACATACGTCTGACGAAAGAAAGAAAAAAACAACCGAAAAAAAGAGAGAAAGAAATCGGTGTTCGAAAAATAGAACAGGCCAAGCGCGTCCAAGAGGAGCAAGTTGAATCGTCAACATATTACAGGCAATTTAAATGCATTACGATGTTAAGCGCGTAATTTCTATTGCAATAAAACAATGAAATTCAATCTAGCTCTTGATAGCGGGCGAGAGTGTGGGAAACAGAGAGCAACATACCGAAAATCTCATTTGCGCTGCTCAGATATATATGAAACTAACATAAACGAGAGAATGAAACAAAAGAAGAAGTAGCAGTTTGATTATTTATTAAAAAGAAAACCCAAACGAAATTCCGTAACCCGATGAGGGTTGTGCAGTAAAGCTTTTGCTTCGCATAAATCCGAATGAATTATTAAAAAATTCGAAGAGTGAGCACTAAGTCCAACTCAAATACAAATACAAATACAAATACATGAATATGAAGAAATTTAATGAAAATAATTTAAAATGTAATAACTTTTGCAACAAAAGCGATGTGCAGAGTGTGTAGGGAATGGAGGTGGATTGTGATCGGTGTACATTTTATTAAAAGCCAGAACAGAAGACGCGAATCGCTTCCGCTCACTCACTCTCACTTTCACGCTCGTTTTTTTTGTTTTTTTTTGCTCCAGCTTGACAATGATGAGCTATTCGACATATGCATATGCATGTAGTATGCGTGTGTCGTTAATTTGGTTGAGCGAATTTTCGCTGCACGACGTGCTGTGATTTCTAAAAATGTGCGCTGTCAAAATGATATTGTGAAAACGAAACCCAAAATGCAAAAAGGGAAGACAGAGATCGCGAGCGAGCGATAGAGGACGTTGAGCAGTAATCGAGAACGGCGTTGTGCAGTTTACAGGACTGGCAGTAACATATAGCCAATGTAATACATACCTTAACACAAAGTTTAAATTTTATTTTGTAAATATTTGGCAGAAGAAATTTCAAATTTCTTTTCTCTCTCGCGCGCGCGCACGCTATGCAAACTGGCTCACCATGCATCACGATTTGCTCGTAATCGCATGAATTCATTCATTCGTACGTACGCTCGTTCATTCGTTTATCCTTCTTTGTGGAGACGCAAAAGCAAAAAGCTTTTTGCCGTAGACATGCAAGCAAAGCATATATATATATATTATGCAAAAATCCCCGAATAAGCTATGCACCTACTCACAATGCCGTTGGATATATGAAAATCTCTGTGGTTTTTTCTCTATGTATTGGTTGTTTCGTGCCTTAGTTGGTGTTTATTCTCTTTTTTTTTCATTCTTTTTCCTCTGGTGTCGTTTGTGTCGTGGTGTTATATTTCGACTTTCTTTTTAAAAGGAGTAGTCGGCCTGTCATGCTAAATTATTTCGCGTTGTCGGTTTTTGATACACACATACACCGAATTAAAATGCCCACACTATTATCGTTGCGCTCAGACATGGTATTAGCAACGGCGAGTGCTCCATTTATGACAGCAGATTACAAGAAACCCCTTCCCTCGCAAAAAGTACGCGGCGTTTGCAAACGGCAGTGTGTTACTTCGTATTTTCTTCTTCTTTTTTTTTCTTGGAAAAAGGAAGAGTCGCATTTACATAGCTCATCTAACCAGTTGAGAGTAACAACGACAGCATTTTCTTAAATGGATGTACAAATTACGCCATCTATATAAGTACATTAAATATGAAATTACCATACATTTTCGCCGTGAAGATTACAGTTAGAGTATGTTCTGTCTCTCTCTTTTTCTTACAGATGTACATTTTCGATATGTTATTAATATGTTATTGCCCGACATATTTATTATTATGTTATGTTGGGATTTTTTTTATCTTAATAACGTTATTAAAGATTTGACATAATAATAACATATTATCTTAATAACGACCAAAAAAATCGCAAAAACAGTTTCATGTAAAAAACATGTCAATTTTTTTTGCGATTTTTTTGGTCGTTATTAAGATAATATGTCGATATGTTAATAAACATATTGGCCGTTATTATTATGTTATGTTGGACCAAATATACCGCCGTTATTATTATGTTATTAAGTATAGTTAATAATATGTTATTGCCCGCAAATCTGTACTTTTTCTCGATGATGTCGCACAACGTACGGCACACACAATGTTCTAAAGTATTGAAAATCATTGACGTTTCGAAATCGATGTAGATGAAGATAAAATATAAATGTGTTCTGGGTGAGTGCGATATATGAATGTAATTTATAAAATACAACAACAACAACAGCAACAACAAAAACACACTCACATTCGAGCACGGCGAGAAAGAGACAGAGAGTGAGAGGGTCAGTGAGAAACGGAGAGACTGAATCTCGAGCAAGAACGAAATCAGAATTTGAAACGAATATGAAAAGGCGAAACACACGTGATAGGGCAGAAACGCAATCAGCAAGACACAGTCAAGAGTGTGAATAGCAAATGAACAAATCGAAAGAAGAGAGAGAGAGAGAGAGAGAGAGAAAGAGAAGATAAAGCGAAATGAAAAAACACACAACAAAATATGAAGATTTGTACGTGTTCGCGTTAAAGAGAAACAGAGACGGAAACACAACAACAACAGCAACAGCGGAAAAAACGAATTGAAGAAGGAACAGCGACACAAAAAAAATATATCGAGAACATTTATCTGTAAGGCGAATGTGGTAAATGCATTGAACACCATGTTTTCTCACACTTTTTGTGTGTATTCATTTTTCATCGTTATTTCCGTTTTTTCTGGTCTCTTTTTTATTATGCATTAAATACATGTTTGAATGCATACATTGTGTGCAAAGTTCTACTTGACTGTAAATATTGCCCTTTCCTTTTTTGTGTTTGGTCTCTCGTTCTCTGCTCGCTTTCATTTCTTTCATTCGTTCGCTCGTTTGTTTGTTCGTTGGGTGCTCGCTGTTTTTTTTCTGTTGTTATTCGTTTCGGAAAAGTAGTCCTGCGCTCATTCCCAGCAGCACTCTCACGCTTCGAGAATTCCATTGAATCTCCGATACATTTTTATATGGATTCGTTTGTCGCATAAAATTCCACAATATTTTTTTTCTCTGCCCTTTGTTGCTGTACTGTTGCTGCCGTACTGGTGCTACCATTTTTGCCCCCACAAAAAAGACCAGAAGAAGAATAATAAAAGCAAAAGCAAAGATGAAAGAGGGTCCCCAAAACGAAAAGTTACATGCTTTAACTTCTCCACTCAATTTTTCATTTATATTTTTGCAGAAATGTGTATATTCCAATGAGAGATAACAAGTTTTTTTTATCTATCGCCCAATGTTCGCCTCGTATCTCGGCAATAAATGATGGCATCTTAAATGCTCTCCGCATTGTCTCGTTCGCACAGTTCTTAATGAACTGAAATTTATTTGCAATGATTCCTCGCGGTTTTTCGTTCAGCAGCACCAGCAGAAGCAGCTGAACAAAGGCGAATTTTCATTTTATGAGAAATGACAAATGCTGACTAGTTCTAAAGAGAGAGAGAGAGGCCATGCCATTGCGCGCTGTGTGTGTGTATGTGTATATGATGTATATTGTATAGTATGGTGTGGGGATTCGATGAACAAAATGACAATTTAAAATGATGCACACCCGCTTATTGTCTATTCAGTCGTTCAACGAATTTGACAATTTTCACTCACCATCCCCTTCAAAGCATCCGCCCGAAAATTGTGTGACTGCGATGAACTGAACAACAACGTGAAAATTGATGTTTAATCAATTGCGGCCAAACCGTCGAAATGATTATGCGAGGAGTGGAGAAAACGATTCAGAGAACGAGGAACATTGAGCAAAAGAGAGGAAGTACGGACACCAAATCGGCGGATGAAAGGGAAATGTTCGAAAATGGCATTGAAAAGTTGCAGGCAACGAAAATTTCTTGAATGAATAATATCGTGACGCCCACCAGGGGAGCAATAAGTATTTTAAAAAAATACACATACACACATAAACAGAGCGAAAAGCCTGCAAATTGCGCAATTTTAAGAAACAAACTGAGCATTAAGCATAATTATTTATTAAAATTGTATGTCGAGTTTTCCCATTGTCAGGCCGTGCAATTTATTATTACCCTATCCAAAATAATGCATGTCTGTACGGAACCGTGAAAAAATGTCAGGCATGCACTGCACACTATCCATAAATCATAACATACATGTGAGCTTTCGCACCCATGTGCGGGAAGTGAACACAGAAGTAGCTAGCGGGAACGGGAGGAAAAGCGAGAGAACGACGTCGAAAAGGAGCAAGCAAGAGGAGAATGTTTGATGGCTTGAGGATGCTTCGTAAAACAATATTACGGAATTAAGCTCTCTAATACGTACTTCAACTTTTCTTTACGGCGCGTGCAATTCGCAAGAGCGTTGTTTCGAGTAACAATTGCACTCTCTCCAGTTTTTATTACGGGCTGAAAGACATTGAGAAAAATGAACACACACGAAACGAACGTCAACGAATTAAAGTGCGAAGACGGTTTTCTGCACGTTGGATTTAATTGTTATCGGCAAACTTCCTGAAAATCCAAGTGAATGATATGCAACACCACTTGCCACGTTCGGGGGATGCTTTGGTTAAGATAACGAAATTACGTGGCAATCGAAACAGAGCAGATTGAGAAAGAATGAGCATAAGAAAGGACCAACTTAATATTAAGCGTTTATGGTTATGTTGTGTGGTGTGTGTATGTGCAATTTTTTTCGTCTTCTGCTCTCACTCAATTCACTCCTTGGTGAATCGTAGACGATGTCGAAAATGATGGTGGTGATGAAGACGCTTTGGCTAAAGCTTTTTAGCAAAATCACGCTATTTCTCTCACGTTCTCAGCGAATTGTCATTGGTATTTGGTGTAAGAGCGGATTTGATGTATTTTCTGCAAACAGTTTATCGAAACAAATCCCTTTTGCAGCACATTCGGCTCAGCCACTGCTGATCCAGCAAATAACATGTGCATTTGATATCCATGTTTTGCTTCTTATTATTTATTTATTTATGTATGTGTTGTTTTGTTAATTCCATATTTTACATTTCATCTTATTTTGACTTTAAATATATAATTTTTGAAATCCGAGGGACGAATTCCCATTAAGATTTCGTTGTTTGTTTTTTTTAGTTTAACATTTATTTAATATTAATTTTCTGTATTTTTTTTTTAAATTTTAATTTTCATGTTGTGTTTTTCTTTCGGTTCGATGTAAATTTCGAACGATAATTGGGGTATAGAGCGAAGACGCTGGCACGAAAACCTTGAATTTGTTGGAACGACAAGGCGGTAAGAAGTTTTTAATAATTTGCTTATACTTTGTATTTTCTTTTCATTTGTTTTCAATTTTTCGTAACCGACTTAATCGTGCCGAACTCATTTTTCGATGAAAGGGATGGGTGAGAGAATCGAAGTTTTGCAAAAACATCTGTCGCCGTTTTGTGTAATCAATCCATTTAATCCATAATGACGAATTGGCTTGGTGGTATGCTTCACACAGTGTCAGTTGTAAAGAACATTTAAACCGATATAACCAAATTGTTTGCTGTCAAACTTTGTCTCGCTCACGCCAACTGTCGCACTGACTCGTTCGTGTACGAATTGCTGTTAGCGTAAAAGAGACTTTGTTCGCAGTGGACTCAGTTTAGATGTTCTTTAAAATAACCGAATCCCTTGCCATAGCATACGCTTGTTATTTTTTTTTTGCTCTTTTCATTTTGGAAAATGAAGACACTTCTCGTTTTTCAATGATTTCGGTTGTTTCTCTCGGCTTGGTGTGTATCTCCTCCTCTTTCTGGTTCGGGCCGCGCATTTTATGTGTATGTCTCGATTTCATCTCCCCGACTCGACTCGATGCGATTCAACTTAATGCCTGTGCTTGTATCTATCTACCAAAACGTCCCCGACACACAAAGAACGATTTTTCGGCTTGGCATTTTGATACACATTAACAATTATTGTTTATGGTGTTTTGGCACAACATTCGGTGCTATCGCTGTTGCCGCTTCTGTAGAGCCTACACACTTGACAAAACGGCAAATGGGACAGTCAAAAGAAAAGAGCAAAAGAGAAATTTAGATTTATTAACGACAGGAAAAAGGGGTTAAGGAAGATACTCATACTCTCTCTTTCTCTCTATCTCTCTCTCGCCCCCGATCTGATGAGCACGGAGAGCAGTCGGCGCGCTTTGAGAGCGACAGAGACACACAAAGCTTTGTACGCTTTTGTTTGAAAATAAGCACCATGTGTAAACTACACAAACAAATGAACGGAACAGTATGTGGCAAAAAAGGAGAGAAAAAAAGAATTACCAACCTAAAAATTTTAATCAGACAAATTGTTTTTCTGTTTGGAAGTTTTCGGGCACAGCATGAAGGTTGTCATGTAATCATCTCGATTCAGTATGAGAAAGAGAAAATCTGATGCGAATAATCTCTATCTCAACAGGCATTCGCATTCAAAATTACAAATTACGAATTACCGCAGTGAACCGATCTCGTAAGCTTAGACGAAGCTAACACACGGCCATGTGTTGGCTTCTTCGAAAACCCTTTTTGGCAACACGATGTTTGTGTTTAAAGCTGAATAAAATCGATTAGGCTGATGTTAGGATATATATATGAATTTCGTTCTTTCATCGATTTTTAATTACTTTGTTCTGCCGGCGCGCCATGTTCCATTTCATTGAATTCCATTGCGTTTTTTTTGTTGACAGATCATTTGAGTAGTTTGGAGCGAAAATGTAATAGTTGCGCGGAAAAATATGTCGATGATGAATGAGTGGAAAAGGGATAGCTATATAGTATACTTTATAGTAAACTATAGTGAACTATATAGCTATCTCTTTTCATTTGATATTTTTCCGCGCAACTTTTCTGTATTACATTTTCGCTCCAAACGACTCATTTATCCCCCATCCTTCTCTTCCGTTGTCTCTGCCTTCGTTGTTATTGTTGCTATTGTTATTATTGGGATTCGATTTGTAGAAAATAGCTGTTGTTGTTTTTTCAACGGATTTTTAGGTGAACTGATTTCTGAAAGCTTTCAGCTTCGATCGAATGGCAAATAGACATGTTAAAAAACAAAATATTATTCTTTTCTTTTGGTATCGCTTTCACAACAACACACTCTCACAAAAATACACAAATGCACACATGCAATCGAGTTCCACTGCTACGAAACAATTCTTCTTCAATGTTATTTCTTTTTTTGTGTATCCTTTTTGGTTGCCGATTTAATCCGAATTTTGCAATATTTAGAGTACTGAGACCGGAATGCGCACGATCGTCATGTTGGATGAGCAAGGAGGTAAGGGCAACAGTTGTATTTGTAGCAAGTGGTGTAATGAGAAAGCATTTTCTTCTGTACATATACTTCTCTTCACTTTTTTTGTTGATATTGTTGTTTGGTTTCATTTTGTCGTTGTTGTTATTTTCGGTTCATTTTATCCTCTTTGTTTTCGTTGGTTATTTTATTTTGCGGAAATAAAACACCCCCAACCATAAAAAACGCAAAAAAAAGCAAAACGAACATTCTAAACCAAATAGTAAAATCCATACATAAACACAAACACAGTCATACACTCGAGAGAAAAAAAAACACAGAACCGGATTCTTTTCGTCTAAACATTGTTGTAATTTGACCATATACTCAATATTTTACGTCATTTTTCGCTCAAAAACCTGTGCTAAATCTATGAAACCAAACCATTCGGCAGGCAACCACATCATATCGCTGCTGCATAGCCTCGAAACATCCATTTTGTGTATGGCTTGGTTTTTTCTGCTTCTCCGTTGTGTGTGTGTGTGCATGTGAATAGAAAAAAGAGACAACGAATGAACCAGACACACTACTGAAAGAGAGCACATTCGCCAGCAACTGAATTACAATGAATGCAATCGCATTCGGTAAACAGAGGGTGCGAATAAATGAATGTGAAATGGGTGCAAAATACAACGACAACAACCACAATAAAACAGAACAGAGAGAACAATGTAGTGGCCGACACGAAGGAATAAAATTTAATTCGTTTATTATTTTCACCACCTTTTTTTGCGTGCGGGCTTTTTTCCGGCCAATTGATGTTTGTCATTTGTTTGTATTCGCTTAATCATAGTCGGTTCCAAAGCGTTAAAGCACACCTTCCATGAATGCGAGAGAGAAAGAGAGAGAGAGAGAGAGAGAGAGAGAGGGGTGGGGGGGAGAGATAGGGAGAACGAGAGAGCGAGCGAGCGAAAGAACGTTGAGCACGCAATATCGGTGGCACGAGCTGCCCACCAATTCGGAGGAAAAATTTTGGAATTTTTTCTCGGGTTCTGACATGAGTCATTCGTTTCAATATGGACGCCAATCATTCAGTATGTGTACACTTTTTGTGTGTTCACTCTCACTCTCTCTCGCCTCACATGCAATATTCATCTGTCAATATGTTTCGTCTTTAATCATTGGTTTATTCATAGATCATCCGTACCCATCATAATTGCATAAAGCGTTAACTGCTTTGAGCGTTCATTGTCTGTCTCTCTCTCTCTCACTCTCGCATTTTATTCACCGTTCACTTGTTCGCTTTTCTCCGAATTTTCGTTTCGCATTGCAATTCAGATCAAATGTTGATTCACACAATGAACCGAATCATCACGGTGTTGCACGCGTTAGTGTTTTTAATTATTTATTGAGGCAACAAACGAACAAATAAGCAGAAAACAAAAACCAGTGACCGATATAATCGGAAAAAAATTTCTTGTTATGTTTTTATAAAAACACTACTGAGGAAAGGATGAGAAAACGACCGACAATCCCAATGAATAAAATCATTCATTCGATATCTATCTCTATCACTTGCAAAGCTCCAATCCAAAATTAGTAATTCTTCTAGCTCTTGATATTAAAAGCGCGTTTCCGTCAGTTCCTCATGATGCTCCTTTAAAAGTTTGTAAATCGTATGGTTTTTCAAATAGCGCGGTTAAATTAATTGAATCAATTTATAGTAACATTCAGCAAAAAGTTAAAGTCGGCGATCAAGAGTCAAACTTTGTTTCAATTAATAATGGAGTGTTTCAAGGTAGTAATTTCGGCCAAACTTTCTTCTCCCTTTACTTCAATGATACTCTCAATGTGTTTGAAAATATGAAAGGCCATTTGTTCGCGGATGATTGTCAAGCACATATCGAAGTAGCTTTTGATAAAATAAACTCTGACCTTGCCAAGTTAAATGATTTTCTTTTACGTCGCGGTATGATTATAAATAAATCAAATGATTATAAATATATCAAAGCATCAAACGGGTCGGTTGAATTTTGATATGATCAATGAAGTGAAATTAGGTGATGAAAAAATCGAATTCTGTAAGTCAATAAAGAACCTTGGTGTTATTTTTGACGAAAACTTTACTTTTCAAGAACATGACAAGTGTAAATTGCAAAAAGTGTATGGCGTGTTGAATCGCATTCGTCACACTAAGCGATTTATACCCAATTACGTCAAACGTGATATGGCTGTAGCTCTGATAGATTCCATAATGGATTATGGAAATGTGGTAACATACGGCTGGGGCGCCCACAGCACCCAAAACCAGGTGCACCGTGATCTTGTTGCTGATAACGACAAGATTCGATACATTTACGGATTAAAACGTAATGATCATGTTACTGAATATCGTGAGCGTTTGAGTGGATTGACTCCTGAGAGCAGAGCAAAACTGCAATCAGCAGTCTTGATATTCAAGCAGTTGTCAAATTGTTCGCCTGTGTATCTGAATCGCATGTTTGTTCGTAATGGTGAATCGTCGCGTTATCCAGATAATCTTCGCATGAATTTCAATCCGCGTACTGCATTTGATACTCGCGCATTTAGTTTCTCTGCAATCAATTTTTGGAATAGTATATCGGTCGAAATTAAAAATTCTAAATCTCTAGTCGCGTTTAAAAATAACCTAAAGCATTTGTTACGTTCCACGCAGTAAATTTGTAGATATTTTTCAAATAGTAAAATACTCGGACCATTGTTATGAAATTTCTTATCCAATTTAGATTAAGTTTGACTTTTCATTTGATTTTTCTCATTGATGTTAACGTACTTTAATTGCAAAAACTCATCATCATTGTATTTCTCCTGGTTTTCCAGAACCAGGCCGGTTTTACCATGGTTTTCCGGACCCAATTCTGGTATGAAAGCCTCACTTTTATATCATCCCTCCCCTGACTGTATTCTCTTTGCAAAAGACGCACCATGGGTGGAATTTATGCCGTATTGGGTCTCTGACCAGCATGTTCTCAGCTTGCTGGGAACACATATTGGCATAAATGTAGGCTCCGTAATAAATAAATAAATAAAAATAAATCAAATTCTATTCCATCGAATTGCATTAGTGTGCAAGTTATTGCTGTATATGCATGCCACTTCCTAAATGATAAAAATCGTCTTGCATTTTTTAAAAGGTCGACCGTTCCTAGCGTGACATTAAACTAAAATATTCTGAGATTTTGAGGATATTCAAAATTGAATCAAGGATCATAGATCGCGCTAATGTGAATGCTACCAAAATTGACATGAGCGAGACATATATTTTGGAGAAAGACGAAAATGCAAAATTGCAATGTTTTTTTAGCAGCCGAGTGATAGAATTCCACAAACCGATATGGTTTAGAAATCTCTTTTAGATATAAACGAAATGAAAATTCGGTGCGCATTAATTAAGTTCGCAAAGTTCATTAATTTGAACTCATCTCTCTCTGAGTGTATATGTGTGCACACTACACATGTCGTTGCGCTTGGTAATGAATTGTCGGTGATATATTTTCTGTGTACTGACATAAAAGTTCGTTTGTCCGCTCAGATTGTCGGTATGCGCGCCCATCAATTGCCTGAACACACTGAACGTCGAAAGTTTAAAAATGAATGGCTCACTTGATGTACGTTCGTGTGCGTTCTTTCGTTCATTTGTTCGATCGCCCCTTCGTTCCATTTGATTGTACGCACTTGCATTGTCACACCGAAACCACTTCATAATCGCGGCGACCATGTTATTGGAAAGCAGCCATTTTTGTCAACAGATAACATTTATAATAAGAATAATGATAATAAACGGAGAGAACATAAACGATTACAGAAATAATAATTCATAATCATGGAAGCACACCATTATTTTGGTCGGAATCGCATTCATGTGTGCGAGCGGACGAGCGCGCGAGTTGAACGCTACGACGCGGTAACAATGCCGTCGGTTCGACTCTATCTCACTTTCTCCCACGAGCCATATGTACATGCGCCACATATCATCATACCACAAATTTTGGTCCGGTGTTTACACCGATTCGCCATATCGCTGGTTAAATTTCCGCTTTTAATAGGAAATCACCGATTGATGTGGTGAAAATATTTCATATTGACCAGTGAGCAATTTGCTGTTGCTGGTGCTGCTGCGAGCATGAAAGCTCTCTCTCTCTCTCTCTCTCTCTCTTTGTCGCCTCATCATATGTGCACCGACCGGGAAAAAAACCTAAAAATAATGGCATGACACACAGGCATCAGTACACATTTTGCCCAGACAGCGATAGACAACGGGAAAGATCATCTGTTAGCGATAAAATGCGGCATGCATACCGAACTCAAAACATAATTCACCAAATATTACACTTTGACACATGAACGTGCATATATCCACAAGATTTAGAGTAAACCAATCGAATGACCGACCAATCGACCGTCCGCCCGCAACTCGCCAACACAACACACACACAAATGAAAAAGCCCAAAATACACCACCACGCACTCTATTAGTAGCATATTAGGATGAAAAATTGTTCATTTAGTGTCGATTCTTTGTTCCTATTTAGCTGCAATTTTCATTTATAGCCATAGTACATAAATACCAAACCTTAATCTGTTTACCCATCATTAAATGTTGTATGTTAGCCATAATCGAACGTTTTTCTAGCTGTAATGCATGCAATTCAATCACTTCCTTTTGTTTTGTCCATTGATTTCGATTTCTATCTCTAATAATTGGTCAGATAGAGGCGGAAAGAAACGCGCGCGCCCACAACCGAATAATCAACAAGAACAAAATACTGGCATATGTCTCCTTTCATATTTGAACGTTGTTATTTCTTTCGCTTTTTTTCCTTTGTCGTTGCAATGAGCAACGGAATTTTCGTCATATTTCGGTATTTTTTTTCTCCACCCAGATAGGGGATTGCAAGAAAGCCCATCGAGAGTAGTATAGAAAGAGAGAGAATGAAAGAGAGAATAATATATACGAGTATATGTCAATTTCACGGTTCATTTAATGCCATTTAATTTAAGTAATTCATGAAGTGTACGCCACGATGAACATATCGATTGGCTCACTTTTGTCATTGAAATTTTCCTCGTGCAAAATTATGATTGGGAACAATTGAAAAATAAATTGTCGACAATCGGTTACTCGTTTTTATTTTTCTCTCTCTCTCGTTCTCTCCCACTCGTACACTGGCTTTCGCTCCTTGCTCTTGTATACCATATCCTTACACATACATATACCTTCTGCAGCGTTTGCATTCTAGATTCGCTTGATTTGATATTTGTTTTTCTGGCATTTAGCATTTAGCATAAATTACGGTAATCCATCATTTTCCCTTCTTTCTTCTGTCTTTTTTGCTGTCTCGGTTGTCGATGCTGCTGCTGATGCTGTTGCTGCCGCTCGCTTGTTTTCTTTCGTCCGATGCGACATGTCTTGGAATGCTGATGCCGATGCTGATTTTGTGCTGCACGACAAACAGAGCAATTGGATCGCGTTGAAGAGGGTATGGACCAAATCAATGCGGATATGCGTGAAGCTGAAAAGAACTTGAGCGGCATGGAGAAATGCTGTGGCATTTGTGTGCTTCCTTGCAAAAAGTACGTACATCTTTTATCCACTGAAAATGTCATACACACATACTACAAAAACAAACACAAGAAATGAATCGTCAGAAAAAAAACAACAACAACAGCCATCACCACCACCACCACCACCATCGAATATCGAAAACATTTTGATTTAGTCATATCACATTCAATTCCCCATCCTCTCTTCTATTTACTTCAACTTTCCGCATTGTTTATTTGTTTCTAATCTTGAGTTGTGTTTTTGTTTGTAATTCATTTTAATCACTCAATTTCAAATCTGAATCAATATCTTTCTTTCTCTTGTATTCAAAACAAAAATCTATATATACATCTATCTACCAGTATACATTTTACAGATTTACAGGCAATAACATATTATTAACTATACTTAATAACATAATAATAACGGCCGATATATTGATCCAACATAACATAATAATAACGTTATTAAGACTCAGCATAATAATAACATAATATGTTATGCGTTATATCGGGTTTTATCTTAATAAATCCTAAGATTCGGCGGTAATAACATTTTATTAACTATAATAATAACATATTATTAAGATGGATTTATTAACTGAATTAATAACATTTTATTAAGATACAATCTTAATAACGCTTTTTTCGCGCATTTTTTTCACCGGAGCACTGACAAGTTGTTTTTTCACTGCAGAGTATACACATGAATTTTTGCACTGTTGCAATGAAATTAAAATGACTGTTTGAAACGGAATTATCATGTATTGAACTTAACCATTAAGTTTAGGAAATCTCGACCTTGAAAGGATCAATTTACCATATTTTGTCTGCATTGTTATAGGTGCTTACACCATACACTGTACACCCGTAGTGAAAAAAAAATCCAGTGCTTTTTTTCTCTCCAGCCAGGGAAAAGAATGCGCGAAAAAAGCGTTATTAAGATTGCATCTTAATGATATGTTATAAATTGAGTTAATAAATCCATCTTAATAATATGTTATTATTATAGTTAATAAAATGTTATTACCGCCGAATCTTAGGATTTATTAAGATAACACCCGATATAACGCATAACATATTATGTTATTATTATGCTGAATCTTAATAACGTTATTAAGATAAAAAAAATCCCAACATAACATAATAATAAATATGTCGGGCAATAACATATTAATAACATATCGAAAATGTAAATCTGTAATACATTTACATGAGACTTGCAGGTAACTGTAAATAGATTTGTTTCAAGCGTCGTCTTTTAAGTGAGAGAAAGACGAAACGAACAAAAAAAAACGGGCGAGAAAAAGAGACACATACGTAGAGAGGGAGAGCGAGAGAGAAAAGCATAAAACTTTCAAGTTCTTTTACATGGAAGTTTTCAATGTACATTGAAGTGTGTGCGCACAATGCAGCCACCAAAAATAACTGAGTTACGGCAAACTACTATAATGAGTTAATTCAGAAAACATGGAAACACACTGCACAGTGCACACTCGCAGTACACTCAACGTCGTATAGCGTCGTTTGAAGTCACACATAAAAATTGAAAAAAAAATATTTTTTCTGAACAAAAGAATCGTTCTCGATGCCACGTCCAATTGATGACAAAATGCGACATACATTGTAAATCGCACCGAAAACGTCAACATCCTACACATCACACTACGAAATTGGTGGTTGAGGTTTTTTGTCGCTGTCGCTCACTCTCTCTCTCTCTCTCTCTCTCTCTCTCTCTCTCTCTCTCTCT